CGAAACCCAACAGAAGCCGCGCAAGAACTATAGACCTCTCTTCCATGCAAAATGCAAGCTCGAAAAGCTGAACTGAAGGACGGCCTCCGCAGATCCACAGGAGCACATCGCGCGCTTCCGTAGAAGACCGCCTCCAGGAAGAACCTTTCGGGATGCCGGGAGACGGTCGACCCAGAAGTTCTAATCCTCCGAAGTCCGACGGATGATGTGCAACGTTCGTCCCAATCGCTTCTTAACATGTTTTGCAGTCCTACGATCCTCAAGCCGATCCCGATGCAAACACGCCAGTCGGCGGTATACACCAAGCGACCGTTTTCTATTTGTTCGGTTCGGGGTCCGAGACTATCTATGTTAGGGCATAAACCCATTACGGTCCTGCCTCGCTGACAACCGAGCGCCACCGGATGCTGCGGACGGGGAAAGTGATCGGGCTAAACCGCTTCGTGTCCCTTCCCTGCTTGTTTCTATCTATTCTATCTACTCTAAAGCTAGAACTACCAAAGCACGGTCCAGCAGAGGCCACCGAAGCCCGTGATGCAAAAGATGTCGGCCTCCCTGCGCGTCTTTTCTCGCAACTCAGGAAAGGATCTTCGAACGTTGTGCGGACATCGCCAGATCCTTCCACGGCACGTCTCTTCTGGAACGCCGCGATATCATCCAGAACGCCAGTCGCCCTGCGTGCAATTGGCGCCCTTCCGGTCAGGTCGGAGCTCGACGGCGACCTCGAGAAGTTCTCCAGCGTGCTGTCGTCGCCAGCAGCATCCCAGCAGCATTCATCACGAGAGCACTCAAACAATTTCCCTGTGGATGTCATCCCAGCCACCCTCCCGGAAGCAACCCTATGCGCTAACGAAATCTTCCACAGGAATCAGCAAGGAAGCCCGAAAAGAACCAAGTCGAACCACGGCCACACGAAGTCTTGGCTATGAGAACCATGAAAAGCTCCCCGTCCTAGTAGTTTGACAGCGAGCACGCAGAAGGATGGAAGCTATACACGAACCCAAGCAACTAAAGCAAGCTGACTGAAAGAAACCTCTGAAGACTCCCCTTCCCCCCCGCCCTCTCCAAACCGACTGCCCCGGCCTCGACGAAAGCTAGAAACACAAATCTCTCGGGAATAGCAGAAGCGCATAACCGACCAGCCGAAGAATACTAGGACCCGGAGACCACGAAATCACAAGATCGAACCCGAAGGAATCGGCAAGGAAATCCGCAGAACCGCATCGAACCCAGCGCAAACGAAGTCTTATCTATGACATCCACGAAGCCTGAGTGGTTTGACAGCGGACACGTAGCAGGAAGGAAGTTGCGCTGACCCAAGAACTGAAACAACCTGAACGAAAGAAAACAAAAAAACCATCCCAAGACTCCGTTTCCCTGCCCTCTCCCGGCCGACCGCCCCGGCCTCGAGGAAAACCAGAAACACAATTTTTTCCAGCTTCACGGAAGCGCATGGCCTGTCAGCACAACTAGACAGCACGACCCTTTATGAGAGGCCTGTCTGTAAGGCCCCTGCATCCACGCAAAAGCCGCCGGTCGCATGCGGACGATCGATTTGACCACAACACACTTTCGCAGAGCCTCGGAAACCGTGCGACGAGTGCACATGTACAACTTACAAGGAGACCTGAACGCAAAACTGCACGAAGCACGAGCGGACCACAGTGAGCCATTTTTCTCAAAGTGCCATGCTGTGCGCTGACAGTGCATGAGTTGCTCGGCTGGCTCCCCAATACGGGTCACTCAGCTCGTATGTGCAAGGGTTTCAGCTCAGTTTCTCAGCTGAAACCGATTTCGATCAGAGTGGCTGGCTTCCCAATACGGGTCACGCAGCACTTCGATCTCAGACGCGCTCAAGTGTGTAGAGCACCTTGCCATTGGTGTCCGTGACCCGACCCTTCTGCAGGGGCACTTGGTAGAGTCGCGCCCACTGCTGTCCCTCGGAGGCATGCGACTGCAGATACTTCTCCGCAGTGAACAACGCGTGGCCCTCCCGAGTGAAAGTCATGCGGAAAAACACGGGGTCCGGCCTGCCAACCAACCGCAGACGCGGATCAAGCGATAGAGAGAGAGAGAGAGAGAGAGAGAGAGAGAGAGAGAGAGAGAGAGAGAGAGAGAGAGAGAGAGAGAGAGAGAGAGAGAGAGAGAAAAAGAAAAAAATAATAATGATAAAAATCAAAAAAAAGATCTGGATCCCTTAGGAATCGTCGAGCTGCATGGAACCGTCGTCCCACCAGCCGTAACGCTCTCTCGCCAATTGCTTCGTTCCGCGGAGGGAATAGTACCACGTCGTTCCCGGCTGGAAACAGGGAGGAATCACACCACCACCGCCAGCTGCCTGTAGGGATACGAAACGAGACTCGGGCTCGAGTCATGCAACACCACTCCCCACTCCCCCCCCCCCCCACCCCGCCCACCCCTCTCCGATCACTCTTTCGTTGATGCCTGCGGCAGCACGGCTATATAATACTCGAGATGGACGGCGGCCACGGGCCCAATGAACTGCTGTTCCGTCGCCATGCTCGGGAACGAGAAGACAACCAAAAGCTACTTCCTTCTGCTTTCGAGAAACGAAACACTGCAGTCACACTACACTTCCACGGTAAAGCACGGTTGATGATGTCTCGGCCCAGCTACTGCTTGCGATCTACACACGCCACGATTCTGCAGTGCCTTGCAGGCGCACAGCGGGTTGTTTGTCGTCGTCGTGCGATCGATCTCAGCACCACAGCCGGCTTCCCAATACGGGTCACACAACTTCTAGGCGCACATGTGCTAGAATTTCAGCCCGTCGACTACGCTGGCACTTACACCGGCTTCCCAATCCGGGTCCCACGGCGTGTTGCAGCCCGAGACCTCGCGATGTCAGCCTTATTCTTGCAAAATAGCATCTTCAACGAGTGGACGGCTGCGGAGCTCTGGAGAAAGTGTGCATGCGCAGCCTCAACAAGGTCCGTCTCCCAGGTACGCAACATCTTTAGAGCCGCATGCAAATTCTCTATGTTTTCTGCGATGTGCTCCAGAGCAATCTTTGCAAGCACGTATGTGCGCAAGGGCCAGTGCCGAGACCGTGGATGACAACATAGACCAAGATCCTCTCGAGTTTTCAACGGCGTCGACTCCTCGGGCTCTTCTTGCAACAGGTCTTGCAGCTGCGAAGGCGCGATGCGATGCAGGATGGCGTTGAAAACCTTCAACTGAGAGGCCGAGCATTTAGGCTGGAACGAAACCAAAACTCTGCCTTGAATGGTCTGCTGGAACAGCCGCGACTCGGCAACGTTCATTCGTTTCTGCCTCCACTCGGCGGCCAAGGTTTCTGCCTCCTCTTTCTCCGCCTTGTCCAAGAGGATCAAAACACCGGACAACGCCTCGACTCTCTCTTCACAACCTGCATCGTACGCCCGCAGTCGAGCCAAAAACACATACTCTCTCAATGTCCAAAACTCCATTACCCCGGGCAGACGTGCCAAACGCACCCGCGGTCGCGCTTGCAGCACGGGAAATTGGCGAAGCAGGTTTTGCAGTTTTTCTTGATTCCCACCCAAAGCCGCTGCAAACACTTGAGCAGCGCAACCATCGGAGGCCTGGAAGAAATCCTCGATGCAGTTCATCACAACCGGGGAATACGACTCTTCGCTCTCCCACGCTTCAGAAACACGGCTTGCTTTAAGGGAAGGCTGATCGGCTTCCTCACAGACTGCCACAAATGGAACCGCTTCGTCTGGCTGACTGGACTTCGCGCCGCCAGCACACTGGCCTCCCGATCCTGGTTGCACGCCGGCTTGCATAAAGGCTCCGGCGAAAAGAACCGGTGCGCTGGACTGACTTGTCTTCACGTCACCACTCTGGTTTCCCAATCCGGGTCGCGCAGAAGTACTGCCATCGGAAGCCGATCTCGCCCGAGTCGCCTCCCGGAGGAGAGCGATCGTGTCGACTGCCTGCGCCTCGGCTAGCACTTCGGACAACCCTCATCCCAAAAGACTCTTGAACACTGAAACCTTACATTCCCGGCTCCGGCCTCCTCTGCCCAGCGCAAAGCATTCCATTGCCCACAAGCGTCCGCGCCGCCCGAGCCTCTGTCCAGATCCGCCCCGCGAGACAACCAAGCCTTCGAGCACGTCTTGCAGTTGGCGTGAGCAGCCCAAAGGAAAAGATAGTGCTGTCTGTTCTCGGCGGCCATCGTGCGCAAGCGCTTGCACAGATTGTGGTGTTCTTTGCCAGAAACATGGTGCAGTTCATCCTTCTGAGCATCTTCGCAAAAAGACGCCAGCTTGTTCATTGCGCCACCCTCCCCTTATTTGTTTAATCACAATTTTTCAAGCAAAGATACGAAACGCTCTCGAGCAGAGACTCGGAAGTAGAACTCTGTCCCGGCACGTCCAGCAAGTCTCACACACACACACACACACAAGCACTCTCGGTAACCATCCTTTCCGAGCACCCGACGAAAAGCGTCCGGAAGCAAGCTCCGACCAAAAGCATGCAAGGATTCGCAGAGGAACTCATGCACCTGCAGCCCCCGCTCTCTCTCTCTCTCTCTCTCTCTCTCTCTCTCTCTCTCTCTCTCTCTCTCTCTCTCTCTCTCTCTCTCTCTCTCTCTCTCTCTCTCTCTCTCTCTCTCTCTCTCGATCGCTCCTTCACTGCCGACACACCTTGCACACTTCGAAGTAGTCGCTTGTCCCGCCGCGCTGCCTCGGCATGCATATATGAATGGTATACATGCAAACCTCAAAGAAACCAAAAGATACCATCTGGCACCAGCGCACTTTTTTTTTGTAACACTTGTGCCGTCAATCCAAACGTAGATGCTGAATTTTCACAGTTCGGATTGCAGAGCTTGCAGACACAAGAAATCCTGGTCGGCTTGCTTCCCAATACGGGTCACACAGGTCGTTGGCACGGGCATTCCAGCACCTGTGCCGCATCCTGCTTGCATGTTGTCGGCTGGCTTCCCAATACAGGTCACACAGCTTTTGCAGGAAAACACAACTTCAGGAATCTCAGTGTTGATCTTGCAAGAGCAGGCGCAACCCGGACCGATCTTCAAAATCCGCATGTGAGAAGTGTGCATGACTACCTTCGATGAGACTCGTTTCCCAGTCGCGCAATTGCCCAAATGCCTTGTTCAATTTCTGCTTCGTCTCTTCCAGCTCCTCACTAGCTATGCGTGCAAGAACGCATGTACGCAAGGGCCAATGAGCAGTCTCTGGATGGGTAGCTTGACCAAGATCCGCTCGAGTCTTGAGCGGGTTCACAACATCTTCATCTGAGTCCTGCAACAACCTCGCCAGCTCCTGAAGGTCCACGCGGTGCAGAGCCGCGTTCTGGAGGTCAGCCTGCGCCTTCGAGCCACTATCTTGAAAAGCACAAAAACTTCTGCCTCTCACGGTCTCCTGGAACAGAGATGTATCGGTCCGTTGCATCTTGCCAAGAATCTTGCCTTTCTGCCAGGCTGAGACTGAGACCAGCTCGCTTGCCTGAAGTTCCTCCGCAGCATCCAAAGTCGCCGCGACGGTCCCTAGCGCCTCGCTCCTCTCAGCATTGCCGGCATCGTCGGCCCGCAATCGAGCCAAAATCACATACTCCCGCAATGTCCAATAGCTTATGATGTCAGGCACGCCGTCTAACAGCATTATCTTGGGCCGCTGTCCGAGCGCCGGAAACTCACGGAGCAACACTTCTAGCTTTTCATGATCCGCACTCAAAGCGGCAGCTGCCACTTGACAAGCTGCGCCATGGGGGTCGTCGAAGAAGTCTTCGAACCTTTGCACAGCCGGCACATCTTCGGAAGGCGCCTCACTGGCATCCGGCGGGGCGTCTGCGGGCGGAGGAGGCGGAGTCGCCCAGATTCCCATCATAGGAATCATGGAGGCTTGCGCATAGAGGCCCGCGAAAGGAACCGTTTCGAGATCCTCACTGGGCCGCGTGCTGGCATTCTGGTTTCCCAATTACGGGTCGCACAGAAGCACTGCCGCCAACGGGAGATCTCGACCTTGCGTTGTCTTCGTACTGCCGGAGAAGAGCATAGGTCGCATCCGCTTTTGCCTAGGCTGTCGCTTCAGATAGCCCTGATCCCCGAAATCTGAATCTCGAAATTCTGAAATTTAAATGCTGCCTCCAGCAACCTCCTCTGCGAAGGATAAAGCATTCCAGCCCGGATTGTTTAACGTGCCTCTACCCGGGTCTGCATTTCGAGAAAGCCACGCCTGCACGCACGTCGTGCAGTTTTCCTGTGCCGCATAGAGGAAAAAATAATGGTGCCTGTCCTCGTCCGGCATCTCTCGCACTCTCTTGCGCTGCCCTTTCCCTTTCACATGATGCATCGCATCACGGCTTGCTTTTTCGCAAAACGCAAGATGGTTCCGGTCCATTCTCTGAAATGCCGGTCAGTGCCTCATCTACAATTTCTCGAGCAGGAAAAACTGCAGAAATCGACAAAGGAAACATCCCTTTCATCTCACGACTATTCCGGACAAACATCCTGCGTCGGCTGTCCAATTGATATCGGAATTATTCAAACTCTTCAAAAAGTCCAACCACACCCACCCAGGCCCCGGCTCGTCGCAGTTCTCGTGCTGGGCCTGGGCAGCCAGACCAATGCCCAGAACCAGCGAAAGATCCAAATGAAATGCCAAACCTAAACAAGCCTCAGGACTCGGGCGTACTTGAGTGTGGCCTATAAACTTACCGACTGTAAACCACGCCAACAGCGGCTCAGAAGTGTCTACCGTTGTTCGGAGAGTTCCTGCAAGCAAGGACGCCCATGGCTTAGACGCGTGCTTATCTGTTCGTTCGGGAAACCTTATGATGAAGATGCACGATCGAGGAAGGCTGTGAAAGCTTTCACGCTCGGAACAGAGGCGGCCGTAGCTTAGAAGTCTTATGGCCGTAGTCGGGGAGTCTTATGTCTTATGCCCTAGACAAGAGGAACCCAACAAATTCATGTTTCGGGCATCCGAAGTTAGCGTAGCAACGCTAGATGCGAGACTCACACCAAAAACTACGGCAAGTTAGCAAAAGAGGTTCCATGACGACCTCTTGCACACTCCCTCGAGAAGCTTGCTGGGGGCCTGCAGTCCTTCTAGAACTCCATGCAGGATTGGCGACGGGAGTCGAGACGGGACTCAGATGAAAGAAACCAGGGCAAGCAAACACTGGCAGCCTAGGGAAAGCCCACTGCGCGTGTCGTGATTCTTTCTCTTGCTGCTCTTGAATTCCATTGCGGGTCAAGGATCTTAAGGACCGAAAACACACTTTGTCACAAATGCGAGATGAATGCACCCCCAAGAGCAGAACTAGTCGGGAGCAATAATTCCGGCAGCAGGTGCAATGAAGCAACGAAACAAGAAAGAGGAAGAACAAGGCTCGGCGATCCCCATTCCGGGTCGAAGTTCTCCGAATCCCACTCAGTGCCGTGGGCCGTAGAGTACCACGTGCCGCTGTTGGTGGAAAGGTTCAATCGATGAAGCCTGTAGAGGCCGTTCTCGACATGAGACTTTCGGGTGGGTGCATGGCCTTTCGCCAAGTACTCGTCTGGAGAACTTTCGCGTCGCACAAGACGGCCAAAACCAGCTCGACAACTGGAATCTCGTCCATCCGGTGCATCATTTCGTCACGAACCACACTTCGGAACTCAAAGTCGAAGCGTCGTGGAGCGGCGGCCGGCCGTTCTTTTCTTGGTGGTGTTGGGTTGGCTCATTGACATCTGCCCGTGCGGCCGCAAGTGGGGCATCCGCGGGTGCAAGGGTTTAAAGTCCTGAACGCTGCTCCGAATTAGAGGCCTCATCCAACTTTTGCTGCTTATGAAAAAAATAGAAAGACACAGAAAGAAAGAGAGACGGAGAGAGAGAGAGAGAGAGAGAGAGAGAGAGAGAGAGAGAGAGAGAGAGAGAGAGAGAGAGAGAGAGAGAGAGAGAGAGAGAGAGAGAGAGAGAGAGAGAGAGAGAGGGAGAGAGAGAGAGAGAGAGAGAGAGAGAGAGAGAGAGAGAGAGAGAGAGAGAGAGAGAGAGAGAGAGAGAGAGAGAGAGGGAGAGAGAGAGAGAGATTCCTGCAGGGGCCTTGCTTGCTGCGTTTGCTCAGATTCTGGCAGAAGGCCCAATAGCTTCACTTATAAAGAATCAGAAAGACTACACAATGCCCTGCGAATGTGTACCATCCCAACAGCCAGAAGCACACCCAAACTCATTGTTCCATAGGGTCTGGCCGCGGCAGCATCTCGTCGTCACGGCTCCACAACGAATGCTTCCCTGTGGCCATGCTTTGCCAACCTCAAACCACGATGCTGTGCGGTTGAAAGCTTTGAGTACGCAAACGGCCATCGCAACATTTCACACTTCCCGCCGCATCAGCACTCTTCCCAGTACGGGATGGAAGCCCAACCGGCATAGCGAGAGGAATCACGTTAGACACTGACTGATGGCTTCTTTACAGACGCTTGCGACGACAGGCTTCGCCAAAGCATGCGGCTCCAACGCTATCTTCGCGGGAACAAGAGCATTCGAGCATGCAACGAGACTGGTCGCAAACTCTCTTCCCAATACGGGTCAAGGCGACTTGTCACGTAGCTGCATAGGCCGTCTGCACTCTCCCCAATACGGGTCGAAGCAAGGCAGGTCAAACAACGGAAGCAGGCGGCATCCAGTAACTGACCCTGTCCACCTGCACATCACGCGCCAATGCGTAGACCTGCGTCTGAACCGTCTGCCGCTGCACTTCCAAAGAGCCAAGAACCCACAGAACGTAATCTCGATCGCACCATGGCCGCAATGAAGGACGCACCCGGAGTATGGCATCAACAGCTTCTTCCGCAGTATAGTTATGTCCGATCACCAGCCAGGCAGCCAGCGTGCCAGTGCTGCGATTGATGCCTCCGAAGCAGTGAAAGAGCACGCGAAAAGGCACCCCGGCCTCGCTCGCTTGCTGACGACACACCACAAGATGTGCCGCCACTGCATACCAAGCGTTCGCAGTGTGACGCGCTTACCCCAGAAAGGTGACCGCGTCGTCTCTTGACCGAACGGTGAGATCTCTCATAGCGAACTGCAAAGACTTCACGCCTTGAGACAGAAAGTAGAGCCGCCAATTTGTGGGCCCTCCCGTCATTGCACGCAGCTCCTCTGCGCAACAGCTCACTACCACGTCGACGCCATGTCCAAATCTGTCCGGGAAGCTTTCCAAAGAGCAAGCCGATTTCAAGCTGCCGAGATAATAGCAGGACTCTCCCTCAGTGAAAACACTGACCGCATCGAATGGCCATTGACTCAGATCCCTCATGCTATAGCTGTGTTCCCAAACTCGTCGGTCCAGCTCATTCCACTCTCCGCGTTCATATTCACGTTCCACCCGTGCTTTCATGCGCTCCATCAAAGGGAACGATTCGAGAAAACCCTGGAATGTCAACTTCAACGAAGAGGACTCCATCGGAACGAACAGAAAGGGCAAGAACCCTACGTCTACGTCTGCTACGGAACATACAAAGAACAGGATTCGAGGGAAGCTGCAAGTGTCACGAAGTCCCTGGCAGAGCAGAAACGCAAACATCAACCTAAACTCTGGTGCGACCCGGTTGTGCAGCATGGCGACGGTTTTGGCGCTTACCGATACTCGCCGACTGCTGCTCCATTCTGACATTTGGCAGATGACCTGTCAGGAGGCACGGATCTCCCAATACGGGTCACCGTTGCTCCGTTGACAACATTTGTAGATAGCAGATGACATGTCAGGAGGCACGGATCTCCCAATACGGGTCACCGTTGCTCCGCTGACACGTAAGCTAAATACGAAACGTTGGGCAACACGAAAGCCGCCGCCTGTACCGCGTCCACAGATAATTTGAGCAGATTCAGATCTCCGGGAAGCAAGTCCTGAAACGAGAACAAATTCGTTCCGTGTTGGTGGGTCTTGTTGATCTGGATCTGTGCCTGCATAAACGCCTCGAGCTGCCGAACCAGCGCGACAGGATCTTCCACTTTCCGACGATCACGACTGAGCGCGCTGTGGGCGCCTTAGTCACAGATCCACGGAACACGAAACCTCCACCGAGTCACTACTTTGCTTAGAGTATGGAACGCGAGATCTGAGTGCAAGACTCCCTGCCGCCCGGAACTTCTTGATAAAGTGTTTTGCAAAAGTGCGGAAATTTCTCGCCACCCCCTTTTCGGCTCCTGGCGGTAGCCGGCGTTTCACCTCCCAGTATCGTGCCGTCAACTGCTCATGTAGCAGCGCCAAGATCCAAAACATCGAATGGAAATCTGGCGGCGAAAGGTTCAGTCCCCCCCAGGCTTGTCCACCCTCCAGATGTGCTGCGCGCGGCCTGCTGCTCTCGGTGGGCTGGAAGATGAAGGAGTTCCCCTCGGCGTCCCTGAACACCGTGGAGTACGGCAGGGCGGAGTTCCGCTGCAGCGGCAGCTCGACATCGAACGCCTGCTCCAGGCGGGCTCGCAACAAATGATCACGCCAGTTGTCGGACAAGTGCTGGTACGTGTCTTCCGACAAGCGGTCGGCATCTCGCAGAAAGAAGTCGTCGTTAGTGTGGCACCCACAGAGGGGTTGCGGACAGCAGTGCAGCGCGATGTTGCTTAGGGTGCTCTCGAACAGACTCTGCCTCTGCAAAGCCTGGTCAGGAGTCAACTTGCCGCCGCCCGGGCAACAGCAAGTCACCGATGCTCTCAGATCGAGGCCAGGCCAGTTGCAGCCATCGGCTTTCGTGCCGGACCGAACAGACAATACGATCTTCACCGAACCATCAATGATATGCGACGTCTCCTGCTGTTTGCTGACGGTCACCAGCTCATTCCAAAGCAGCGAATAATGACCGGCCGCGTTCTCCGGCTCGCATACTGACAGCGAGCAAGGCAACTCGTTCGAGGTCGAGGGCGGCAGCTCCGGCTCGCTTACCTGGCAACTACAACAAGACATCGAAGCAGCCTGACAAGCTCCTCGCTCCTAAGCAGACGACCGCCGCCTCGACCTGCTTCGCAGTCTTGTTGCGGCGCATCATGAGTCGAGGGCGTTTCTGCTTCTGTCCCTGGCACGTCGCAAAAGCAAACTCGAGCTATCGGACTCTCCGAGCCTGTCGACCAGACGAAGGCGGTTTGGACCACGTCGCAGTCGATTCCTTCCAGCAGTCGGTGGTCGCTGTTGCTGCTGTTGCTGAAACTGACTTACATGAGCATGGCCAAACGTACAAGCCTGCAGCCGACGCAACAAGCACTACTCTGCAACCTTTTCCAACAAGAAACACTTCACTGTCCCGCTCGACGAGTCCAGCCATCGGCACCGGCACGTTTGCGCCGCCAGAAGATGAAGTTGGAACCTGGCGTTCGAGCTGCAACTAGTGGGTCAACAAGGCAAGTACCTTAAATCCTAAACCCGACGAGCGTTGGAGGCCTCAGCAGCGACTCCTTCAGCCGAACCCTCGAGAGAAGCGGAGGTCAAGCTTCCGGCCGCAGGGCGCTTCCCCTCCGGTACCTCGTTGGTCGGCCTTGTCACCTGCGGCGCCGCAGCCTGCCGCAGACATGCGAGCATCGCCTACGACTGCCTGGTGCCCCCTCCTTCCGAATCCTCCATGCCTGCTGAAGCACATCCTCAAAGTATATCCAGCTAAACCGGTCCTCCGCAAGCCGCACATAGAGCATTTCCTTCACGTCATCTCTGCGCGTGACTTCCGCCATTGTGCCAGCAGGTACCTCCAGTTTTTCAGCTGTCGCAGCGAGAAGCTGAACGAACCTTTGCTCCTGCAGTGTCTCGACGCATCCCGTACAAGAGTTAGAACAAAAAATAACACCTATAAACCGAACAAAAAAAGGCTGCATGAGAATCCTGCGCAATACCTGAAAATGCTGCCGAGACGGTCGGCTGAACCCCTTCCTGAGACGGGTTGGAGATTGCCGCCGAGGGCGGTTCCAATGAAGCATGGCGGTCAGGTGCGCCGCTTGCCGTCGCAGAGACGTCAGGAGCCTTACACCAATACCCGAATTAACAAACAAAAATAATAAAAGAAAAAATAAATAATAGTAAGAATAAAGAATAATAGTAATAATATTAATAATATTAATACAAATGTGTAAAACCGATATCAGCACTGCTCCACAGCGACCGAGACGGTCGCAGAAGTGCTGCTTCGGCGATATGGATCGGCAGCTGAAGCGCTCGGCTCATCCCATGCTGTCTCGACGGCAGGCGCCGGCGGCGGTTCTTGTGTTTGCACATTTGGAAAGGCCGCCGGCGGAAGCGGGGCCGGCGGATCAGACGGCGCGGCGGGTGGATATCTGTCCGGCAACTCCAGCTGGCTATGGAGCCATGTCAGGTCCGACATTCTCCCCCAATTCTCATCGATGCAAGTGTTTGCCAACTGCTTGAACGCAGCGAAGGCCGGGCCCTGTGGAAACGATGCTTGCTTGGTAAGAAATTTGTTAGCTTTCCTCATGCAATCGGCAAAAGTCAGATGAGGCTCCACATCTAGCAACGTGTCCAGATCCACGAACATGTACTGCTCGAGTGTCTCGTCCAGGCAGACGTTACGCGGGTGCATGTCAGGATAGAAGCGCAGACCCGCGTCGAACGCGTTCTTGCACGCCGAAACCAGCAGGAAGAAGTGTTGCCGAACCTTCTGACGCATAGACTCCGAATCGCTTCCGTCGATTCCCTCCAAGACGGACTCCAGAGTGGGACCCGCCTTGCCAACCAATATCGCATCCGCTCGCTGAAACCCCGAGTGGGTCTGCGCGTTGACGATGAACCTCCCGAAGAACGCAGGAATGTGTTTCGGCAGCCTTGGCTGCCACAACTGCAAGCCCCGTTCTTCCGACTCGTGCGCGCCCCACTGCTCGCTCGGGTCCACGAAAATCTTCAGCACTAAACGATGATTCGTGAAGAAATAGCAATTGCGACCCTGCCCGCTGGCTCGATACTCCACCACGTCGGTGAGGCTGCCTCCGTTCGCCAGTTTCAGCGTGGCGGTATAGGCCTTCGCCATCTTGCCTTTCGAGGGGTTAGCCTTTACATTCTGATACCAGTGTGTCGCATCCAATTGCAACGCGGTCACTTCCGCTACGGGGACGCCAACACTGGCCATGGCACAGACGCAGATTCAGCGACGCGTGAATCTCCAATACGGATCGACACGCACCGCTGAATCTTTGGGTCTTGCAACTCTTAAACCACACACCGAACACGCGGCGCCCTATGTTTCGATGGCGCGCGTGTCTCCAATACGGATCGACACGCACCACCGAAACTTTTTCTTGTCTTGCAGATCTGAAAGCAGATGCTGAACACGCGCCACCCTGTGTTTCGATGAACATTAAATGATTAAACGTCTGACAATTCCTTCGCAGTTCGAGGTGCCGACTCCAGGAGCCTGGCAACCAAAGCCGAAACACTTGGATGAGCCCGCCAAGTACGTGAACAGCGACTTGGAATGTGTACACAGGACAGGGTCGTTGCGAATCTGTATCGGAATTAGCCTGTGATTCGGTTACTGCGATCCTTACTTACTCCTACCCCCTCACTGTAAATCCGAGCAAAGGCAGCCGTTCCTTTGGAAGTGACGGTATCATACCTACACGCGGTGAGACATCGAAATCGAAACAGCTTTAAAGAACGCGTCGTGCCGCCGGACCCGTCGCGATCGTAGTCCAGGCAACAACCACGATTCTACCCACAGCAAAAAAAAAGTGACACGTGCACGTATCTCCTCATGATGATACTCAGATAAAGCTCACAGAATCCGCGCTCGCTCGATCCAGGAACGTACGCTGCTATGTTCTTTTCTCCAAGCCAGCGTACCACATGGACATGTCGAGATAGCAACGCCAATCCACGTCCGATGCATTCTTGCGAGCAGACAGTCATCACACCCGCTGAGCCACATCGTGATAATATATCCAGCTCTCATTGCCATTTGGCAGCCGCACATAGAGCATGCGCTCAGTCTCGCTTCTCTTCCGAATTACCACCACTGCCCCAGCAGCTAGATCCAGAGCGCGAGATTTCTCGGCGGTCAGACGAACCAACATCTGCTCCTGCAGTATCTCGTCGCATCCCATACAACTATGGTAATATAATATAAGCAAACGCCGAAAGAGAATCTTGCGCAAGACACGAAGAAGCCGCCGAAGGACTTGCCCGGACGGTCCCCTGAACCCCGCAGGCGATGCCCACGGAGGCAAGCGGTCCTCCCCACCGCTTGCGGTCGAAAAGGCGCCGGGAACCTGACATGCAAACAGGTAGCCAAACGAAAAAAAAAACAAAAAAGCGACAGAAACTAATACCAGAACCAAGACAAATAATAACAGCATGCAAGCACTGCTGCACGGCAACCAAGCCAGTCGCAGAAGCGCTGCTTCCCGGATGTGGTTCGGCAGATGAAGCGCCCGACAAATCACATCGTGCAGGATCCTGCGGGCCGCTGTCAGGTACCCACTCCCATCTGCCTGCAGCACGCCGAATTGAAAAGTTGTCCGGCAACGCCAGCTGACGACGGAGCCGTGTCAGATCCGATACGTCCACCCCGAGGCCCTGGAGGTAAGTACGTGCCAACTCCTCGAACGCATCGAAGGCCGGAACCCTCGGACGTGATGGCCTGATCAAACATCTCCTGGCTCTCCTCATGCAATCGTCAAAAGTGAGATGAGGCTCCACAGGTACCAGTGCGTCCAAACTGGTGAACATGTACTGTTCGATTGTCTCGTCCAAACAGACGTCGTTCATGTGCATGTTTCCGTAGAAGCGCAGACCCGCGTCGAAAGCGTTCTTGCACGCAGAAACCAGCAGAAAAAAGTGTTGTCGAACTTTCACTTCCACAGGCCCCAAGTCGTCTTCCGCGATTCCGGCCAAGATCGACTCCAGGGTGGGACCCGCCTTGCCAACCAGTATCGCATCCGCTCGAAGCATGCCCCGGTGGGTGTCCGCATCGACGACGAACCTGCCGAAAAACGCAGGAATGTGTTGCGGCAGCCTTGGCTGCCACAACCGCAAGTCCAGTTCCTCCGTCTCGTGCCGGTCCCACTGCCCGGTGGGGTCCACGAAAATCTTCAGCGCCAAACGATGATTCCTGAAGAAATAGCAATTGCGACCCTGCCCGCTAGCTCCATACTCCACCACGTCCCTGAGGCTGGCTCCGTTGGCCAGGTCCAGCGTGGCGGTATAGGCCTTCGCCATCTTGCCTCTCGACGGGTTAACTCTTTGGTTCGGATACCACTCGACTGCTGCCAAACTCAACCGGATCACCGCCGCGTCGAGGCCGCCATCCGTGGCCATGGCACCGACGCAGATTCAATGATGCGTGAATCTCCAATACGGATCGACGCGCACCGCTGAATCTTTGGGTCTGGCAAGTCTTTTATAAACCACACAACAAACACGTGGCGCCCTATGTTTCGATGGTGCGCGTGTCTCCAATACGGATCGACGCGCACCGCCGAATCTTTTTTGTCTTGCAGGTCTGAAGCCACATGCTGAACACGTGCCACCCTGTGGTTCAATGAACGTTAGCGGACCGAGAGTCGGTGCGCAATCCGAGATGCCGACTCCAGAAGACCAGCAACCAAAGCCGAAGCACTTCGGCGACTGCGCCGAAAACATGAACAGCAACTTAGAATGTATGCACAGGGCAGGGTCGTTGTTGATGCGTTTCGGAATTAGCCTCTGACTCCAGAAAGGAAGTAACTCAGTCGGCGCGAACCTTACTCCTCCTCCCTTGCGGGCATGCATCAAAGATCAAAGCAGGCGTCGCGCGCTTTTCGAGTTCACGCCATGGCGCTTCCAGTCGACATCTGTCGGATCTCCTGAGCCATCCCATACAGCACCGAATCTCCAATCCGGATCAACAGGTGCCATGGAAGAGAATCCGACGTTGCAAAACATGGCCTCTACATGATGAGACAATTGAGACATCGGCACCATCCCAGACTACGCATCTTTCCAATCCGGATCGACACGTGCCACGGAAAGCGATCCGACGTTGCAGAACACCAGACAGCACATCTTTCCAATCCGGAGCGACATGCATCCGCCCGATATCCGAGCAAGATTTCTCCCGATCTTCGTCGGTCCGAACGAAACACCGATCACCAGCTGGAGATCGCGTCTCCGCTCCGATTTAACGCATCGGACGAGAAAGAACAGTTTAAAAAAAAGAAGTATACAAGCAGAATCCGTGCACCACGGATTAACGATCCGACGCCGGATCGTCCAGGTGGGCAGCACCGAGCAGCTCAATGAGCTCCGCTTCTGCCTGCCGAAACGCTGCCGAAGGCTCCGCTTTGGGCGTGGCCCGCGGAAGAGCTCCAGCGCGACCAGCCTGATACGCCGCGATCTGATTGGGGGTCGGCGGAGCTTTGGTCCCCGGAGTCGAGCTGCCACCAGCGAAACTCGGAGATGGGCCAGCCCGGGCAGCATTCATCCGGCCCTGAAAGGGCTGGCCCCCCTGATGATCCACATAAAAGACCGGCTGATCGAAGCCTCTGTTCGGAGCGGCTTCATGAGCACCAGGCGGAGCCTTCGGCACCAGCCCGTGATCATGACCAGCCGGCTGGTGTCGATCGCGATCGCGGTGTGCTGGCGGCGTCGCCCAAGGGATCCCTCGACAGAAGCGGCACATGTCGTACCTGCGATCACAGGCGGTGCAGAGCGGAGTACGCTGATTGTCGGCCCATTGTTCGCTCGGCACACGATCGGCAGCGAAGCAATCCTCACTGTCGCCGTCACAGTAACTTCCCGTGTAGAGACCACAGTCTACGCAAGGCCGACAGAGCTCGTTGTAGGAGCCGTGCGCGAGCGCCTGTAATCCGACCGGATTCTGAAATCGACGACGAGGATCAGCCATGTCCAAAAGGCGGAGCGAATGAGATCAAAAGATGCAGGCCAATCAGCTTCAGGTCCAAAATTGCTGCGGACAAACGAACAAACTGACAGAATCACGGCTTCTGCAAACATACAACGACGTGTGCCCTGGAGACATCACATCTTTCCAATCCACATCGACAGGTGCCGCGGATGCTGATCCGACGCCGCGTCACAGGGTCTGTACATGATGAGACATCAACATCGACGTAGACAGCACATCTTTCCAATCCGGATCGACATGTGCCACGGATTGTCATGCAACATCGCGTCACATGGTGTCTGCTTGATGATGAAATGTCAGCTGACGGTGGTCCGTCATTGCATCACATGGCCCCTGTCTACGAGACGAGACGTCGGCACCGTCCTCGACGGCACGTCTTTCCATTCCGGATCGACATGTGCCACGGATACCGACGTCTGTCCTAGAAGCATCACATCTTTCCAATCCACATCGACAGGTGCCGCGGATGCTGATCCGACGCCGCGTCACAGGGTCTGTACATGATGAGACATCAACATCGACGTAGACAGCACATCTTTCCAATCCGGATCGACATGTGCCACGGATTGTCATGCAACATCGCGTCACATGGTGTCTGCTTGATGATGAAATGGCAGCGCCGTCATAGACAGCACATCTTTCCAATCCGGATCGACGTGCGTCACCCTACGGGCGATCGAAAAATAAAAGCGCACTAGCAATCAGCAAATCACGCGGGGAGCCGTTTCCGCTTCCGCGTCCGGCCAAAGGATTCTCGCAGTTTGACTGCACCAGTGCGACAACCCGCTGCACGTTCTTCCAGTCGCCGCAAACGTTCCAAGATGGCTTTCGGCGGGCCGCGTTCCAACATTTCTCTCGTCGGAGGACGCAGCAGCAACATGTCTTCCAAGCAGGTGACACGAGAAAACATGACGTACAAATGCAACCACCAATTATCCTCATCCAGTTCGGGCAGTCGCGCACAATCGATGACGGTGCCCTGTCGCAGTGTCACTCCCTGCGAAGCGGTGCTAGTGATGAACTTGGCGTGCGACACCTGAAACCCGCAGCGTCTGATCACGTACTTCTGCGTACTGGAGAATTGCATCTTCACTTCCACAGCAGGCAGAAACCACAGACTGCGCGCCAGTTCCTCCGCAGCCTCATCGGTTTCTACATGCAGACGACAAACGGCCGCCATGGCCTGCCAATTTTGGTTGCCATCGTAGTTGCGCACGCTGACCCAGAGACCCGATGGCAAGAAACGTGGACTAAAGACCTCACCACCGGATGTCCTCCTGTACGCACGACGATCTTCTGCAGAAAACTCGAAATCAAAGATCGTCGCTTGGGTGTCCTGCACCAGCCCCTTCGTCCCATCCAACTTCTCCAGAAGCCGAATTTCCATGCCTACATGGCAAGGCAGCACGCCGTGCATGTGACCGGTTCGGTTTGGATTAGGCTGATTCAGCAACCGAAACGCAACCTCCTTGTCCAGCTCGGAGCACTCGTCGGCACACTGCAGCAACACGAGCGGAACGCTCCCTCGCGCAGCGTCCAGGATAGCACGGCGGAAAAGCATCCGAGATAAGGAGGCCCAATAGATGGACATGCAATAGCCAGAGCGGAAGTTTTCGTCCTGGAGTCTGGCATCTGGCTTGCCCGGAGCAGCATCCGTCACGAACCTCTGCTGGAAAGCCATCCACAGTCCTTCGGACAACTGACGGCCTGCGCGCATGCACTGCAACAGCTCGATCAATGGATCGCCATCTTTGAAACGCTTCGTGCCCCGCAGCTCGAACACGTCTTGAATGTTTGCGAACACTTGCTGCGCATGCTGGACTTCCGGCGGGACATCAGAATGCAGCAAGCGGCCATCCTCGTCTCTCGCCTTCAAATCGTCCAGGAGCGACAGCTGAGCAGTGGGACGCAGCTGTAAGAAATCTCCCAAATGCAAAACTATGGGAACGCGACCAAAGACACGACCAATCCGAGTGTACGTCTGCGGGTTCACATCATGACTCAGCCTACGACCCAGCATGGAACGATAGTCCAGCATGTTGTACAACATAGCAGCAACCATGCTGATCTCCTCCAAGATCAGCACGCGACAGCTCTGCCACATTGTCCGCAACGCCTTCTCCTTGGAGCCGGCCGCAAGGTTGCAATTGGACAGGTTCTGGACCCGCATGCAAGCAGCGGCATGCACCGTCGTAGCTCGCACAGAGGACGTCGAAATGTTCTTAGCCTGTGAGTTCTTGGCAGCCACCACTCGAAGCGTCTCGCTGCCATCTTCTGGTGGCCAGATAAACAAAACAACAGGGAAGATGAGATTCTGCACAACGTGCGTTTTGCCGGAACCGCCTTGTCCCAGCAAAAGCATGTGATACACACCGCGCTTGTGCGGCGCAAATCGCTGTTCCTGCGAAAACATCAGAAAAGAAAACATGTCAGCCATGACACACACGTGCACATGAACGGAACATCCGAACGCGCAACCCGGCCTCATCGTAAACTCTGTTCAGAACGTCGCCAAACCGCCACATGAAAAGCTCCTGATCTTCATTCAGCTTCTCGTTCGCCGGCAGAGCAAGCATCATGTCCGCCAACAGTTCGGAAGGTTTTTCATACACTGTCTGATCCGCGAATCGCGCACAGTCTCGCGGCAGACGCGGCAGCCACGCTCGCAACCGCTTCAAGTGGCTGTCGTCAGCGTCCTCCGCCTCCTCTTCGTTTGGCTTTTGCTCTCGCAGCGACTCCAGCTTCTTTGACCGATCCTCCTGAGACTTGCCGTGGATATCTTGCACAGCGTCACGCTAGAGGAAGGAACTAACGGGAAAAAAGAAGAAAAAGAAATGCAGTTCTAGACGTCCATCGAAACGCCGGCTTCAAGCAGCTGAGCGCCGTGAACAGAGCTTTATGTTTGTGCAACTCCTTGGGTGCAGCCCGTGCCACCTCGAAAGCTTCCTGCTGGAGCCAAGTCTCCTCCAGAAATTCACTCGTGTATCGGTTTTTCCTGGCTTGATAGCCTAGCTGCAGCAGCCGCCACTGTTCGTCCGCATTCGGCCGAAAGGTGATGGGCTGAAACACATGGGAGGGACATCTTTTTGCACCCTCCAGCTGCACGTCCTCGTGCTCCTCTTCGTCGTCGACATCCGCATCTTCTAGCTCGCCGGCAGTGGTTATCTTCACGAAGTCTTGCTGCAGGTACTGATCCAGCTCTCGCCTCTTCTTGGGCTTTTCCTGCCGAGCCCGGGCCAAGCTTTCCAGATTGACTACTCGCTCCAGGGCTTGCATGGATGAATATATTTCCACTGTAGCCCGCGGCGCCCGCTGAGCGTCGCCTGGAGACACGACGGGCTCCTCTTCATCTTCCTCTGCCCGCGCCAACTCCAACTTCTCCTGCATGGCAGCCTGCATCTCCTCCGTCTCCCACAGAGACGGGTACTCTTGCCGCTCCGCAAACCGCAGCCGCCCTTCGTCCGCTGCCGTCTGCGCTTCTGCAAACCATTCCAGGTACGACTCGGTAAAGGCAGTGGCAGCTGCCAGTGATCGATTGGTTGTCGTAGGCTTGCAAGGCTGAGAGAACACGGTAAATGCATCGATCACAAGGTCTTCCGTCGAAGCACCAGGCGCGGGAGACGCCGCAACTGCGAATGGCCGGCATTGAACTTGTTTGTACATGGCGTTCCGTTCGCTGTCAGTCATTAATGTAGGCATGGTGAACCCTTCGAACATCGGAACTCGAGGTTCTGAACTGATCCGCTGACAGTGCGTCTTGTACAACTTGTAAGCCGAGCTGAAGTACATATCCTGGAATCGAGGTACCGCTGCTCTGATGGAAGTCTCAGCTCCGGGAGGAAGCTCCACCCTGTACACCCACATTCCGTAGGTGGACCAGCTCATGTCTTTCAGCACTGGATGCTCCCCACGAAATAAGTAATCCTCCAAACTCGACGTGGTCACCGACAAATAGCCCGCTGTCTGCGGAAAGCAATCGACCGCCATGACCGGAGCATCTTCACCTCAACAGTCGGTCGCGCTCAAAACTCGCTTAAGCTGCACGCCTTTATTCCAGTTTTCCAAGAAGTCACTTCCCGAACTTCCCAATACGGGTCATCCAGCAAGTTGGCAGCTCGTGCTCAAATGGACTATACATCTTTATGCCACACATCCAAGAAGTTGCATCCAGAAGTTCCCAATACGGGTCATCCGGCAAAATGCAACCTCGCGTCTGTCCGCTAATCTATCTTTACCGCCATCTAAGACGTGGAAATAAACGACACCATCACAACGCCAAGACGACCGAAACAAACTGTCGCAACACGTCAGCCGGCCTGTCTCCCGCAAAGACCTCAGATTCGTCTCGAGCCCCTCGTCCTCGGCATCGGGGTCTGCTAGATTCTCCCGGACAGCGTGTTGATTCAGGAGAGCCTGCACGAACGTCAGCTTGTGCTGTGGCAACTTGCACAGTTGTCGAGCTGCTTGATGCTGCTCGAACACCTCATGCACACTGCTGCATATCTGACCTTCGGATCCAACGAACAACTGAAAGCTTTCGCCCGTCAGCTCGTCCTTGCGCTCAACTTTTCGCCAGCCACGCAGAAGCAAATCACCCAAGCCTTCCCGACAATAAATCACAGGTTCTCCTTCTTCGCCATCAGCAACACCGCCACGCAGCACGCTGTCTCCATAACAACGCCTCCATGCCTCCAGGCAGAAGAAGATGGCTTTCTTGGTGTACAGTTTCCAGGTGCGATGGGAAGCATACGTCAGATGCCCGTACAACAAAGGAAAGATTACTTCTGCTCCGCTTTTCCAGTGACACCTCCGATACGAGGAACTCAAGCGACTCAAAGTCTTCAAGGACTCCGCAAACAACACGCCGCGCCGGCGAGGCAACTCCTGCCCGGCATCCCGCGCTTGTTCAACTTCCCGCGCACGAAGCATTTCCCGCTTTTCGCGTTCTTGCTCCAAACGCTCGATGCCTGTCGGACACACATAACGACTCAACGAACAGCGGACGAAGCGCAGCAAAAAACGTCAGCGGCAGATTATTTTACTACCGTAGCCTCGACGAAGCTCCTCCAGCACGCCTCCCAATCCCTGATTCGGCTTCGTGTCGTATCCTGATCAAGAAGACAAACTGCGTGGGGATTTGATCCTGGTAATGCTCTATATCGCTCACCCCACAAAGAGCTGTATTGACTGTTGGCGTGGTTGCCTTCTACAAGCTGGATCACCGTGACTTCCACTTCCACACACGCACTCCTATGCAGGCAGATCCAACGTTCGCTCCTTTTGCACACTCACGGCCGGCGGTGGATCGTCTGTGCACGGGATAGCTCTGTCTACTCGGAGGATCACAAAGATTATAGCGTTTTAGCTATGGGCAATGCTTTCTAGAGCTTGTGCTCATTCTTGAGCCAAACGTTGCATGGGCGGTCATACTGAAAGGATGGATAGGCATTGCGGTGTGCGTAGCACTACCACAAGCCTACTCCTAGAGACGAGGGACGCGTAGCGTGCCCCCTTCCCTTGCACTTTACATGGTCTTGCTCACAGCTCTTATAGTGACACCTTGGAACTTGACAAGGCATCGCAGTCCGTTCGCCCCCCCCATGAGTTGCGTCTCCGACGCCACTCACCCGGAAGATGGCACGATAGGAATGTCAGAAAATTTGTTCCGCCGCAACGTTAATGTATAGATCACAGCTTTTGCATCCCAATTAGAAACGTTGTGACACTCATCTACGTCGGTAACGATCCCCTGAAATGGCAAACGAATCAGGCGTCACCGAAGAAAGAGGCATTCGCGATGGAATTCCACGTGCGAAGCACAGAGGTCACAATCTTGAAGACGAGGTAGATCATGTGTTGTCTCACCGCCATCTCCGCGTTGACGTAGTATCGCGGTCCCAGGGCCGGAGGTTCTCCTCTGGATACTGGTTCCTTTGCTTTCCTTTGTCCTTGCCTTTGTTTCGGCCTTTGCCGGCGATGTAGTCGTGGTAGGAATTGGCGTTCCAGCCACCATGTTGCTCATCTCCGGTTCTCTCACGCCCTTTTGAAGGTCCCTTTGCCGAAGAAGCGCTTGCACGTTCCTCCGTGGTGACGGGCGTGTCCATGATGGAAGTACCACCCGGAGGGAGATACTCTTCAGCCGAGATGTGATGTAATGCTTCAGGACGTCGAGTATTCGGATTTTGCTGTCTTTCAACTCTAGACTTGACCAATCTGTCCATGAAGTGCGCTGGCATTTGCACGTTGTGGTCCACCAGCAATCCAACGGTCTGGACGGAATAATCTGCATGAGTCAAGAGGATGCCGACCGGGTCGATGTACAGAAAGTCCACTGGTCCAGTTGGCGTGTTTCGTAGTACCGAAAATTGTTGATGTCCTGTCACCATCGGGATAACTTCACATAAGACGTTGAGGCAACAAAAGTGCATTGCCTTCACGTCTTCATCCTTGTTACTCTTCAAGTACGTGGTTGGATTGAAGTTATCTCTGCCGATTCCCATCATGTTGGCTCCCCGTGTCAATAGCGAAAGCATCTGGTTCGTCCGGAAGCGCTTCAAAGTGTAAGTCCCGTTGGGATCATACGACTTGAGGTTTTCAGGCTCCTTAGCGAAGCGAATGATCTCCTCGTCAGTCACGTCCCTGCTCACACCTGTTTCTTTGTCCACCCCAGCCAAAGTTCCCCACTTTCCGAGCACATCATAGCGTTGGCCAAGTGCGAAATTCTCTCTCATCTGAAACAACGGCATAGTTGCCCACTTCGCGAATCCTGACCAAGCTTTGTAGATGGTTCTGCATACGACGAACGCCATATACGAAAGAGCAGCCATGTTGGCGTCGATGCAATGGGCGTTCCGTTTGCCGTGATGGTAGGGCGGTTGCATGGCAGTGCGGGCGATTTGCAGTTCAGGGTCGATGTTCAGAGACTGACCGGCGATGAGGACGGGACGTCGTTCCTGTGCCACTGCATCTGGTACCTGGTCGTCAAAGTCCTCTCCCGGTTCCGTGTCCATTTCTTCATCAGGTTCCTGTTCTGGATCGTCATCACCAGCAACGGACGGTTCTGGAATTGCTTCGGGTTCCGCAACCGATTCCGCTTCCATGGCTTCCTGTTCCTCGACGGTCGCTTCAGGTACTGCTGCTGCCGCAGCTTCCATCGTCTGAGCGATGAAGTCACTTGGGATCTCCGTTGGAGTATCCCGTTGTGGAGTACCTTGGTAGTATCCGCAAGAAACGAATTGTGACCAGCAGGATGTGCATCGAGAAAAGCATGCTGGAACAATGTTGTAGCACGCCGGGCATACCCTCATTCTCCTGCCATCCTCATCTCTTCGTAGATCTTCGGGTCGCCAGTTCTTGATGACAAACTTGATGCCCTTGTCCATGTAGTGATGTCGAACTGTGTTCTCCCTGTGGGCCTCCAAAACAGTGATAAGGTCTCGCATTATCTGATCCTTGCTTGTGTCATGGGGTCCAGGAGGCATCTCGCAAAGCAATTCCATGATCTTGCTCGGCGTTCGATATCTCTCGAATTCAGGAAGCAATGGAGATCCATTGTAGTCCAACACCATCTCTTTCTCCAATCGTTCATCATAGATCTTTTCCACCAGAGCGAACGAATGTGTATCCTGAGGATTCGGGACGCAAAACCATACCTCCTTCACGAACTGGAACGGTATCGTTCGACCAAGGATGATGACACCGCTGTCAGTGATACGTCCACCTTCTCGGGCAAGATCTGTCGAAGCGACATGGAGGACCACAAGGGGCATGTGCTTGGCTTGCGGCCCGTGTACCCGAGTTTTGGTCGTTGCGTTCCGGTCATCGAACGGCGCGAATACCCCCCAGTAACTGTGGAGTCTGCCACCTCGGTTGTCCTGAAATCGACGCCGCTGTTCGAAGTCCCCGTCAGGATCCTCCGAACCAGGCATGACGCCCTGCAGAACGATGGAATCCAAGTTGCGGCATGCCGTAGCGTGGAACGCGCCCCCGAGACGTGTCAAGAGGGTCATAGATGGAGATATTGCGAACCGGTCCTTGTCCAACTGAAGCAAATTGTTCTGGGGATCGGAGTGCGTAGAGTGACCACTTGTGGCCCTGACAGCCCATGGTTTCACCCAGCCATTGCAAACGTTCAGGTACCTCTGGTTGTGTCGGGTACGGTCGTTGTTCTGGATCTCTGTAATCTGATCGGGAACCGACACCAACATGTTCGAGTTCGCAGATCCCAGAGTCTCTGTGCCGGGGTTCTTCACTCTCACACCCAGGAATTGTAGCCGGATCTTGGCCCTGTGGCGTTTCGTGGCTGCAAGCATATTCCCCTGGAACAGTGCTGCAGTCTCTCATTGTACACTCTCTTCCTTTGGAACTCGTCGGTCCTTGATACCGCTTCGGTAATGCGTCTACTTTCGTGGGTCCATAGTTGCTCATGCCTCACCAAGTCTTCTATCAGCACCCACCCTCCTTCATCACATCGAATAACGCTGCTGAATGCCACTTGGCACCGGTTGTCAAGCCATTCCGAACCTGGGCGCCTGGCAATTCTGTGGCGCAAGTCAGATTGAATGCAAGATAGCGCCCATTCTGCGTTCCTTCTTCGATGATGGTTGATGTTGCGAAGGACAACTTCATTCACGATGTCCCATCGATTGTTGATGAAGCTTGCACCCTTGGTTGGGATCAGGTCAAGAATTCCGCATCGGATTGGCCTTCCGCCGCCGATGGACTCGTAGCCTGGATTTGCCCATTGTTGAGTGTTCTCATCATACTCGAAGCTTGGACGATCTCCTCGTTGAGGCAGTCGTCGATCACGATGGTCCGAAAGCTGCTCAATGAGATCCACCACCCGCTGACTGTTCTCGGGTCCCATTTCCCGCAGCGGTACGCCACAAGCGTCATGTAAGCCTCGACGGTTCTCCACCTCCGTGCATAGGTTGTGCTTGTTCTCGTAACGGATCAAGACCACATCGCTCCGAACGGCTTCGCCTCCG